GTCGGGATCTCATTTTGAGCCTTGCACGCTGGATAACGGCCGTTGTAGAAGACATAAGACCGAGAAGGTGCTGGGCTTGATAAGCTGATACCGAAGCTAGGGGTCAGAACGGTCAAATGGCTTGCTTTAATTTGGTGATTCTCGTGGGAGAAAGGCTCTGGCTTGTAGGGAGTCGAAAAACGCCCCGATATAGGTGGCAGTCTGAAAAGTTTCGAGATGGGTCTTGGCAGAGTTTACCTTGAGTCCGAGATCTTGGAGAGTATCGAGTGTGAGTTGGGTAGCTCTGACAGCATTGTGATAAGAAGGAGCAACTATTAACCAGTCATCTATGTACAGGAATATGGTAATACCTTGAAGTCAGAATTATGCAGCGACTGGTGCCATGCATTTGGAAAGGTTCTTGGTGCCATGGAAAGTCCAAATGGTAGAGAGCAGAACTGGCATGAGACATTGTTGAATTGGAATCGTAGAAATTTGTGATTATGTGGATGGATAGAGATGTAAAAGTACATTGTGGAGGTTGATGAAGACAAACCAGTCTCGCTGTGAAAGGAGAGGGATGATAGTGTCGAGGCTAAGCATTCTGAAGCGTCTAGGTCAAATGAATTTATTAAGGTTTCTAAGGTCGAGAATAGGACAGAGTCCTCCATCCTTTGGGGGGACTGTAAAATATCTGGAGTAAAATCCATCATGCAGGGTTGAGGAAAGGACTGTGAGTATGGCTTGTTTTTGTAGAAGAAGGGAAACTTCTTCACGGAGAACAAATTAGTATGGGGAAGGCTTAGTGGTGCCAGAGGGTGGGGTACGTTTGAATTCAATGAAATAACCATTTTGGATAATAGAAAGAACCCACTGATCATTAGTGATTTGACGCCAAGCACTGATGAATGGATGAAGTCTAGTTTGGAATATAGATAGAAGGGGTCTATGGATATTGCTTACCCCTCTTTTGAGGGCATCAAAAGAGCTGCCAGCGTGGTTGTTGCTGTTGAGGTCAAAAAGGAGGTGTTGTAGATGTAGGATAGGATCCAGCAGAAGCTTTTGGTTTGTACGGTCGATATGGTTGTTGATAAAGTTGAAACTGCTGGCGAAAGAAAGGCTGTTGTTGGAATTGATGGCACTGATACTGGTAAGGTTGTTGATAAGGTTGTTGGGTGAAATATGACCGTGCAGTCTTACGGAGTGTATGAAGATTATCCATTACTTCAGCTGTTTTAGTATTGAAAAGGCCTTCTATGGAAGGTCTTCTATCTTTTTTTTTTTAAATTAATAACTTGGGATAAGGTAAGGGGTACAGAGGGTAAAGGGGGATATGAGAGGAAAAAAAGGGGGAGGAGAAACACAAAATATACTGACATCCAATCTATAGATAATTCAATATCAGCTCGACTTTCCGCTTTTCTACTATTTGACTGCCCTCCAGGTTTTAACTTACATTCACATCGTAGTTTAAATCTATGTTATTCAAGTAATATCTGGTGACTCAAGCCATTTATATAATAAATCCCATCGTTCAGTTGCCTTTTGTATTGGACAGTCTTTCAACACTTCTGATAAGATATCCACTTCTGCCGCTTCCCGTATCTTCTCAATACGTTCCTCTTGTTTCGGTGTCACCGGTTTCTTCCAATTCTTGGCATAAAGAATTCTGGCTGCAGTGACTATATATATACAGTGGTGCCTCGCACAGCGAGTGCCTCACTTTCCGATGTCCCTTTTCGCTCCTGTAAAAGTGCCTTAAACTGTTTGAAACCTGTTTTAAATGCTTGGCATCGATAGCCCACCTCCTGAAACCTATGTAAACTTAATTTGGTGTTGTTCTGAGTCTTCGTTAATTTTTGGTGATTTTTTGTTTTCTCCATTGAAAGCCATTGGACGGACCGTCCAATGGCTTTCAATGGAGAAAACAAAAAATCACCAAAAATTAAGGACGCCTCAGAACAACACCAAATTAAGTTTGCATACATTTCAGGAGGTGGGCTAACGATTGCAAGCATTTAAAATACTTTTCAAACAGTTTAAGGCACTTTTACAGGAGCGAAAAGGGACATCGGAAAGGGCTCTTTGATCTCCGTTTCCCTGCTTTTGAAGCTCTTTCCGATGTCCCTTTTCGCTCCTGTAAAAGTGCCTTAAACTGTTTGAAAAGTATTTTAAATGCTTGCAATCGTTAGCCCACCTCCTGAAATGTATGCAAACTTAATTTGGTGTTGTTCTGAGGCGTCCTTAATTTTTGGTGATTTTTTGTTTTCTCCATTGAAAGCCATTGGAATGGCTGCAAGTCCACCACATATGGTAAAAGCTTCCCTCGTGTGCATCACACTTCCAACAAATATTTGACACATCTATAAATCTTTGACAATTTTTCCGGAGTCATATGCCACCTATAAAATACCTTGTAAATATTCTCCTTGAAATTAACAGATTTTGTGAGCTTTATATTATTTTGCCATATTTGCAACCATTGATCAAAATCTATATTTTGTCTTATGTTTTGTGCCCACCTAATCATACATTCTTTGATCATCTCGTCTTGCATTTTAATTTCTAACAAATAATCATACATTTTCTTAATTACTTTTGAGCCTAGCAGAAGTTTGTCAAATATTGTTTGTTCTGGGTAAAAACCCTCTATTTTATCTTTTCTATACCTAGATTCCACTTGTGCTCTTGACCACCAGTCTGTATGTTTTGTGTCTCTAACTCTTCTTTAGACCTTAATTCACAATCCTTTTTAAATAAATCTTGATATTTTAGAAGCTTCGCTTCCGTCATGAGATTAGGTTGTGTAAAGGCCTCTACAGCTGATACCCAGACTGGTGTTTTTTGCTAAATCTGTTGGATCATCTTTTTCCAAGTCCAAAGAATTTGACTTAGTTGGATAAGTGCTAGTCATCTGGATTATATGTACGTATGTAGTCCCTATTTCTGGGCTATATGTAGTCCCTGTTTCATCTTTCAATGCTCGTATTATTGCTTTCTCCTTCTTTCCTTAATTTATATGCTAACTATCTCCCCGGCTTGTTTGCATTTTAAAAAAATTGCTTTGCAAATGTAAGCTTCTTTGCAGTTTCCTCAGTGATCAATATATTTATCTGGTTTTGTACTAACTTTATCTTCTCTTTCGGTTCTGAATTAGTTGGGTTTTGTTTCAGCTGTAGTCAATTGATAATTGAAAAGCTGCTTCAGGGCCATGAGTTTTGTAGTGATTTTCAATGCGTCTCGAAATTTGAAGTGAGGAGGGAGGTTTGTCCCATGATTCTTCTACTAAATCGAGCATAGCCGGGATGAAACTCAAGCTAAGGGGTGGTGTCTTATCCTGATTGAGGTCATTGAAGACCAGATCTTTCTTTTGAGGTGGCGGTTCTTCGATATCCAGTTGTAACGACTTTGTCATTCACATGACTAGCTGAAAATAAGATGTGAAATCCTCTGATGGGGATGGTGGACGGTTTTCGCCCACATTAGAAGATGGAGTTGGTAAATTAGTGGGTGATTCTTGGGACATACTGGATGTTGAATCTTGAGTAGAAAGAGGATTGTGAGGACGGTGATCGGTATGGTGGTTTAGCTACTGATGCAGACAATTGTGACAGTGGAGGTACACTTGATACTGGGCACTGTTCGATGTCAGGAGGAGGGGGGGGTCCCTTGTAGGTCATGGTGACCTGGAGAGATGTATGATGTCGGGAGTGTCTGGAAGAGTGCTTAGCTCGTTTGGGTTGTACTAGAAAATCCAGTACTGGGAGAGTGAGTTTGAGAGCTGATTTTGTAGGGATCGATGTATGGTGAATGGATGTTGGATACATTGTGGATGAACGGTGTTGTGGCGGTGAAGGTGATATGGAAGGCGAGTATCGGGGTGAAGAGGCATATCTCACCCTTCTTGGTTAGTCATAATAGACATGATCATTCCGGTCTTCATGATAGTAGGGGTCGTAGTGATGCTACTGATCCCCATAGTCCTCTTGAGTTGGGTATCGAGATGGTTCATGATAATAGTAAATTTCCCTCCGTGGAGGGGCATATTGGACTGGAGAAAGGTGTCGTCTCTTCGCCCAGCACTTGCGGGGAGACTGGTGAGATGATTCCGAACCAGAGACCTGAGTAGGTATTGCCTGCCCTGATGATCTAGGGCTTGAATGGGCTGAGGCCAGACCGGAACGAACATCAGCCGGAGATAGGCCAGTACTCGGCAAAAGGTTGGTGATGGAAGCTGCAGCCTGAGCTGATGTTAAAGTTGGGTCATCTCTATCCAAAATCAAGCCAGTCATCTCTAGATGACTCCTCAAGGATTAGTGATGGAGGCCCCTGGTTGAGGTGGATCTATTTGAGTCAATCTCATAGGTTTCTTAGTTTTCGTCTTATTCTCCTTTTTCCGAGATGAGCCATCAGGACGAACTGGAGCTTTCGATGTGGACGTCGAGCTTGATTTCAAAGCGGACTTCTAAAGGTCTTTTTGACGAAGTGATGGAGTCGTCGGGTTGGGGGGGAAGGGAGAGAAAAAACACGGGTAAAGAGAAAAAGGACTGAGGTAAATTGAAAAGGGGTAACTAACAGGGGAACCTCCAACAAAGATATGATTAAAATAGAAAATGAAAGAAATGATCGGAAGAATCAGTAAACAGGCAGTAAAAGATCTCAATAATTGCTCTAGCGTTCTGAAACAGGTCCAACTGAAGCAGCGGCAAAAAGGAACTGAGGGGACTTTTGGAGAGCTGAGCATGCACTCCACAGGGGAACGTCCTACTAATCACGTCTTTAAGCTCTAGAAACTTCAATTGTGTGCATTCACAGAGGCTACGAAGAAGAACACTGGAATGATGTCTGACTTAGTCTGTGGTGAGATGGCAGGGCAGAGAACCAGATAGTCTGAACACCCTTTATTTTGAGTAAACAGTAACCAAAACACCACGTAACTAGGAACTTGACACGAACATGAATAAAATGACAGAGCAAACAGAAACTGAAGCAATGTAATGTAAGACATGAGGCTTTCAAAGTTAAAGTGTTTCAGATTTAATCAGTTAAGTCTAGTCCAAATTATATTACTAGATGAGGTTGAAAACAATACATAAAGCTGCCTATCTTGCATCCTTCTCACATTGGCATTCCAAAACCAGTGCAACTTCAAACAGGTCAGGAATTACTGGAGTCTACTTTAGAGGGAGTCATGGCAGATCATGTATTTTTCATACAGCTTAATCTGCTCTTTGACTAAGCCCACTGCATTTTAATTCAGAGATGTGTGTTTAATGTAGGAGAATAAACAAAGTAATTGGAGTTTAACTCCTCAAAACATTAATAGGAGGGAATTTCTGCAATTCATTCTAATGTAAAATTAATTCACAATTGATCAACACACTGAGAGACAGATACTTGGTTTGCTACATTCCTGGTTTCTTAGCCTGAGCCAAGATGAAAAAATGCTTTAATTCAGATCACTGATCTGAATTAAAGCAAAGACCAGAGAGAGAAAAGATATTAGTGAAAGATAAATATTTCTGTTAAGTTTTGGACAGGATCCCTAAACTTCTCACAAAGTGTGTTGGTCCATCCAGTATGTATGCATATTATTTGCACACTATTTAGTTCTCAGATTTGCATGTAACCTGTAGCAATTTGATCTGGCATTCCCTCATATGCCAGAACAAGGAGAGAGAGCCCCAGAAACTAAATGATGTATCCAACCTCTGATATGTATTCAGAAAAAACTTTACAAATGTCCTGAACTACAGCACAGCTATTGTTCAAAAACATATTTATTCAGAGATATATGCCTTTAATTTTCAATTCAAAGACATAGTGGAGCATAGCCAAAAGGAGATATTCTATAAATTTCATGATTTTATTTTATTTTTTGCTCTTGATTGTTTCAGGATAAATTTTTAAAAAGCCCATTTCTGAGGCCAAGGCAAAAATAAGCCACATTTAAGAACAGGCCAAGAGAAGCATTTCAGTGTATATCACATTGGACAGCTGAATGTTGCTGAGCAAGATGTTCAAGCAAACAATCTTTCTGGACTCAGGATGCTGGAAATGCCACCTGAAACAGCAATAGCCTCCAGGCTTAGAGTATCTCTGCTTATCAATAAGAACATACCCGGGGGAATTGGAGGAATACTGTCAGAGGGAATATATTATATCCTGAAGTATATAACTTTGTACTATTAACTAATTTTGTACGGTTGCACAAAACACTTTAGAAAGTGAAAAAAATATTAATGGAAATTCCTCCAAAAGCATTAAAAAATTGGGGGATAACATCTCTCACAGGACTGCCACAGGGGGCACCAAAATATGAAGCATCACTTGCAGTTACCATTATTATTTTCATGTTATTTGTGTGTTTGTGTCCACTCAACACTAAATGGTATTTCAAAAATTGATAGCACATATATTGCGCTTCTGAAGAAGATGAACTCTTACAGAGACAGACCTGCTCAAACTCTATTAACTAATATACAATACTGATTAACACGGTTTGCATCTTTCCTTCTGTCTACACTGCCTGAGGGTATACCCAGGAGTCCAACTAATTAAAAGGAGAAGAGCAAGGAAAGGAAGATTTTGTGTCTGCAGAATGAAGAACAAATTGGGCAAATGTTGGACCAATCAACTGTTATTTTATGAAGTGCAATTTATACCGCACAGCTGCTCTAAAATCAGTGCCCTTAACCCCCTGTACTCAGCGTCTTGCATGTCAAGGTTTCCTACCTCTAAAAATTTGCTATGTACCATCCATGTGCAGCCAAAAAAATTAACTAACCAAAGAGATACATTGTTTGCTAGAGCAACCAATGAATTCAAGGATAAATTGATCTTCAAAGGTCAGATGACATATGGGTGTATGGCCATAGACTACAAGGGCACAGTTGTAACTACAGAAAGAGCTTTGTACTTGTTCTGGAACACACTGAATTAAATGTTCCTTCACAGCTTTATAGAAAGGAAGCCCTGCCCAAAATTATACCTCTTGGCTTTTCCTCACCAATCCCCCCACATAAAATCAGATCAAATTCATATATGCCCTGTTCCTATTCTTACTAGTATGGTTTGGGGCAAAATTAGCCCAAGGCTCTTCAATGGAAACCCCCCAGTAATACTGACCTTTGACATCATTTATGAATACTTAAATTGGACTGGAGCCAATGCCAGCGAGATGAAGTTATGACTACTTTCCAAAGTAGCTGTAATATACGGTTGGGCCCATTTGTTGATTTCCTGAAAGGAACAGGGCACTGAGATCCCTGCAGTCCTTATTGCCTTAATGACAGGCGCTTCCCCAGATTTCCTTGCCTGGGGAATGCACGGTGCTAAATGGCTCCAAACAGTTTCCTATTACATAGGCACATACTATTACAATTAAACGCATGAGTAAATAAGTCTCTGAATATAAAATAGGGACAAAAGCTTAATCAAAGATTCAAGAAATTTGGAGTAAAGAGAGCTAATCAGTTTCACTCTCCCTTCTTCAGCTCCCTTCCGCTCTATTTCAGAGAGGCGATACTGAAAAAAGTGTGCTCGTGACAAAAACAGTTATAAATATAAAAAGGAATTCATTGTCAAGCACCAGTAACACTGCCAGCTTGTGCAGGCATGGTGAGTTAGGAAACGGTCCCAGAACCACACATTTAATCCAGGAGAAGGGGGGGTGTCATCCACAACATTGCATCCGTCTCAGTTGCTCTCTGGGATGATAATAAAAAGATTTGCCTCCAGCAAAGAAGAGTTTGTATGCATAAAGAAACTCATTGCCAAAGGTGGAGCCATCAAGCTGGTTGTAAGACAACTGGTTCAAGAAGTCAGAGATGCACTCCCATATTCTAAAGTTTGAGTTTTCCAGTACGGCCAATACTGTTTCATTATTTGACAACTATCTTCAAGGTGCTGCAGAATCAAGTTGGGGTTCATCTCATATTTTAAAAACCTGGATTCGAAGACTATCTGTTTGGCCTTTGCTGTGCTGAAGTGCTGGGATTCACCTGGAGATGGCCACTGCAATCCTGCCGCTACTCCATAATGGCACGGTACAGTGCAGGCTCAATATAATCCTCACGGTAGCGCGAGTTGATCACCCTCTGTCTTTTTCTTTCCTGCTTGACCTCCTTCTCAGTGAAGATCTCTGTGAAACGCATATCAGAGGCCACAGACTGAAAATGAAGAAAAACAATGAAAATTACTAGATTGAAGAACGGCACCTGTTAAGAAAAGGCCCAGTTCTTTCCATAAGGGGCAAAGGTGGCAGACTGAGATTTGAACTAAGTTAGAAGTAAACAATTTCATGATTTTCAGAGAACAGCTCCTGAAACACCTGTTCAACTTCCTTCTTCTTAAAACATTAGGACTACTTTGAGAAAAGAGCATTGGTACTCACCAGGAAACATTATTTTATGTAGCAGGAGGAGGACATCCTCAAGGGATGGGTTGTCCCTCCTTACTTGCTTCCACAGGCAGAATTGATCAGCCAATCAGGCTGCACTAAGGCTCTTTCAAAAGAGAGGGACCAAACCTGGCTGAACCAGTCTTCATCACCAGCCGCCAAAAAATCATAAAAATGAGAGAGAGAGAGAGAGAGAGAGAGAGAGAGAGAGAAACAATACAGAATAGTAGAGAAAAAGATTTGATAGGTGCCCCCCTGATCAGCTGGTGAGGGTGAGGATGTCCTTCTGCTACATTAAATGAATGTTTCATGGTGAGTAACCGCAATCCCTTTCTCTGTAGCAGAGGAGGACATCTCCAAGATACTGGTAAATCCTAAGCCTAATACTCTACGGTGGGACCGAGGAGAGGTTCATCTACTTCCCACAGGTACAAAACTATCCAAGTTGGACTTAGAAGAGGTCCATCACATGCTGAAGGAATCTTCCCCAAATGCTGCCTCAACTGAGGCAAAGCAGTCCATGTGAAAATGCCTGACAAAGGGAAAGGTGCATCGCCCAAATGGCCACCCTGCAAAGTTCCTCCAGAGAGGCCCTGGTTACTAAATGCAGATGATGTGATTGTGCTTCTAATGGAGCATAGACTGACATTATCAGTCACCTAGAGAGTGTTGATTTAGAAAATCCTTTTTCCCCATAATGGAAGGTTGGAAGGACACAATGAAATTTATCGTCCTGTGTTCCAGACTTATTATGACCGAGTAGGAGTATAGGTGGAAAGGCATAGAGAAGTCTCAGAGACCAGGGGGAGTTACACACATCAAAACTTTCTGTTCCCACTGGCTGGAACATGGATCACCTTACTGTTCTTCATGAGGCAAAGGGACCCACAGCTGGCACTCCAACACTTCCTACAGTTCTCAACCTTGGGTAACAGGTGTTCTTGGACTGCAATTCCCAGAAGCTTTCACCAACAGCTGTGCTGGCTAGGGTTTTTGGGAGTTGGAGTCCAACACATAGATTACCCAAGGTTCAGAACGATTGGACTAAAACATAGTATTGGAGAAGCTCCACTTGTTGTCCAAGTTCGTGTGGCTCAGCTAGTCTGGACATGCTCTGGCTCTAGGTCAAGGTAAGCCTATGCAAAGTGGACACAGAAACTGAAACTGGCTCAACCAGGATTGGTCCCCCTAACATTTCCTGACTGGTTGATCAGTTCTGCCTTTGGAAGTGAGTAAAAAACCAACCCATCAATTAAGGATGTTCGCTGCCGCTGCAGTAAAAATAGTTTTCATAGCAACAACAATACAAATACAACAATACAAATAACTCAAAACCTCATTTCATGGCAACTCTACATTTTAAGTATTATTCGCAACAGTGATCACTTGTTTAAAAATCAATATTTACTACACTTACTACCTATATGATGCATTAAAAATTTTCTGAAGAAGATAGTTTTCTGAACAAGTATGCTGTTGATCCAGGTTAGTGTGAGGCCCCCAAAGTGGAGGCCTTAGTGGGAGTGCCGTCGCTCGAGAAGAGAACCCTACACACGCAGACATCCCCACCTCCGTCCCCAACGCGTTGGGAAGAGAAAGGCGTGGAGACCCCAGATTGGGAACAAGAGGTCGCCGAACCCCTTACCTTGAATAAGGGGGTAGATACGCAAGATTTGGAGGCGTCTATGAAAGGGTTAACCCTTACCCCAGAACCCGGGGAATCTTTGGCGGGAAGAAGGAGGGAGGAGATTGAGGCAGCGGCAGGAGATATAAGAGGGAAGCCGGCAGAGATACCGGGGGGATGGGAGTGGATCTGAATGGAGGATCGTTGGACCCACAAGTGGGAGCAGGTCCGAGTCCCTCATGAAGAGGCAGAGAAATGCCGTTAACTTGGGCTGAAGCCTCCCCCTTCGTATTGGGGTGAGACCGAGGCCAAAGAGTGGAGGAGAAAGCTCCGAGAAGAAAGGGAAGCGGTTGCTTGAGAGCTAGAACGAAAGAAGCAATGGCATATAGCCGAATTGAGGAAGCTAGGGGGTTACCCGGCCCCTGGGGAGTTGAAGGAGGAGACGGGTCGTCCTGGGGTGAGTGGAGCGGGGACGAAGAGACTATTCCGTTGATCTCGCTGGAAGAAGAACTGGACCCTGGGCAGGGGACTGTGCCGTTATTAACAGGACCTTGGAACCCAGAGACAACCAACCCTTTTATAAATGGTTTATGGACCCCGTTGAAGCCGAGTAACATGTTGCAAGAATCTTTGAACCCCTTTTTAGGAGTGAACCCTGTTGGAGTTGATGTTGCAATAAATACTGAACCCTTTGATTTACCTCAACCGACTCGTCCTTTATTTGGAGAACAGACAGCCCCGAAAACTGAACCCTCACAGTTAGATTACAAATGCTGATGACCACTGGAACAGGGTTCACAAGTACATTCATGCTCTCTTGGGACAGGGCTGTGTGTATTCCATTCATTTTAAAAAAGCAGTTCTCAGTGAAGATACATCATCTTAAAAATCTCACCTTTTTAAGAAAGGTAACAGTGCTTAAAATATTTAGATTCTGGTAAGATCTGCTTAAAGGCATTAGGATTCTAAAGAGAGTGCTTATAGGTTTTAAGATTCAGCAATTACCTGTGGCACAGAAAATATGCTAAGCTTTGCAACTTTTCAGAGCTAGATGCCACTGGAAGTCTCATAAACCAAAAGTGTAAACAGGAAAGAGTCAGATTATTTAAAAGAGCAGGGCATCAGTAATGGATATGACTCCTTATCCTTGTGACAAGGAGAAGCAAAGTGAGTTGTGTAAGAAAAAAATACATATAGAGTGGCACCTCGACTTACGAACTTAATCCGTATTGGAACGGCATTTGTACGTCGAAAAGTTCGTAAGTCGAGGCAAAATTTCCCATAGGAATGCACTGAAAACCATTTAATCCATACCGGCTGTTTTTCGTTCCTATGTTGAGGCACTGTTCGCAAGTACAGTGGTACCTTGCAAGACGACGACCTTGTTAAATGACGAATCTTCATAACAATGACTTTTTGCTATAGCAATTCGCAATACAGTCATTCCAATGGGGGATTTTCTCTGGACGTTGATTAGGTCTGTGCTTCACGAACCGTTGGTTCACAAGACATTTTTTCCGCTGATCGTTGGCTTTGCAAAATGACTGCCCTGTGTTTTCCGGACCCATGCTTCGCAGGGCAGCCATTTTTACAGCTGATTGGCACTCGCCAAATGGCTTCCCTATGGGCGATCTTCGCTGGACGACTAGGTATTTTCCCCATTGGAACACATTAAACCGGGTTTCAAGGCATTCCAACGGGGAAAAGGTTTTCGCACAATGACGATTTTACTAAACAGCTATTTCAATAGGACGGATTATCGTCGTCATGCGGGTCACCACTGTAGAGGCATTAGTTCCCATAGGAACTAATGCAAAGCCAGTTAATTTGTACTCTGCCACTAGGGGGAGAATTTTTTAAATTTTTTTCTTCTTTTGACCTAAGATGAACATATCTCAAAAAAAGGGGCAGGAAATTTTTTTTTTCGTTTGCAAGTCAAGGCTCTGTTCACAAGTCGAAGCAATATTTTGCAGACAGAGCTGTTTGTAACTCAAAATGTTTGCAAATTGAGACGTTTGTAAGTCGAGGTACCACTGTACTAATATTTGCAGAAGAATGTGAAATCGCTAATGTTCTTAACATATAACCTTTTTTTAAAAAAAGTTCAGGGCCCTCCTATAGTCTTTTCCAATAATAACTTCCCAAACAGTTGGCTCATTTAAGTAAAATATACTTGACTTTTGAACCAGTGGCTTGAAGTTTCTTCTGAGGAAAGGTTAAAAATGTCAAGAATTTTAGCTGTACTCAGAATGTCCGTTGTCTTCTATTATTGGCTAGTGGATCCTTTTAAGGAGAAAGGCAGGGTAAAATATTTTAAATAAATTAACAACAGTGCTGCACTTTCTAGGGTGATATTTCCACTTCCTCAGCAAACCCTACCATCTTAGTTTAATAACTTGATCGTATCTTTGTGTGCAAGGTAGGAGTGGCAAAACATGACCCTTAGGCTGTACAGCTCTTCAAAATAGTTGTTTTCAAGTGTTCTTCATCCTAGCGCCTTAAACAAACTTTTAGGGGAGTGTCTCACCCTGCTACCTTCCATCACCACAGTCTCCCTCGTTTCAATGCTGTCTCCAAAAAGGAGAAACTTCTGATCATGTGTAGGGGTTACACACAAGCAAGAAGCTTCTCCCAGTAGTGGAAATCGGAGAGACCATGGGAGGAGCAGGTCTAGACATTCCCATGTGTAGACCTTCATAATATCAATCTGAAAACTGCCTAAATAAGACAATGGTGCTTACAGTTCCTGGAAACTTCCAAGACTGGAGATTCATTTGGCCAAGGTTTTTGTGCACCATTTGATCCCACCAAATAAACATCCAATCACCTCCCATTTTGTTTTTTGTGCTCTCTATGGCTTTTCCAGAAGGTTCCAAGTGCAGAAAAATGCCCCCCAGATCAAAGTGAAGTTGCTTGCTCCTACAAGGCATCTGGAAATAAATGTTTAAATGCATGGAAGTGATGCCCAACATTCATAAAAAAATTACTGATCATGGCTTTCCTGTAGAAAAAACTAAATGGATTAACCTCCCCTGCTCGACTCACCAGTCTTGACTTGACTCTTTTGGGAAGCTCTTCATTAAGTGTGTACACATCATCCCTCTTTGCCATCAGTTGTGATCCATCTTCAAACTCCACCTAGACAAAGAAAAACACAGATGGCTTAGATGAACACAGAGAACAATCCCATTAATGCTTTTTTCCAATAGAATGCTTTTGTCCAACTTGTCTCCAGCATAGTACTGAAATTTCATGCATTCTGTTACACAAATTTCAAATAGCCTATTCCAGAAACCTTTCACAGCAACAAATTAACACTTTTCCACTAGCATGGATGAAGGCCACAGCACAGAAATCATCTGACAGTTGTGTAATGCCAGACTTTCAAAGCAAATAAGAGGCAAAATTCCTCCCAGTTTGTGAGCCACAAATATGTAAAGAAAGCAGAGCAAACAAAACTTCAATCCCTTTCTCTCCTCTATCTTACCTGGTACATCTGGATTACATGTGAAGCTACAAATGTAGCTCCATAGACCTGTCCATCTGTCCATCTGACTTGAACAACTTCCCCTCCAGCTGGGGGGCCCAGCTGGACACAGTCACGACTCTGTTGATGTGGGAAAAACAAAGGAAAGATTAGTTATTGACACATGGGGAGAAGAAACACTATCTACAGTAATCTATTCTTGGGGAAGAGTATCAATTAAATGGATGTATGGGCATTGGATAAGACAGATGTCAGTCTCTTATGTAAGTGGAGTTTTTGCTATCCTTTGTAAAGTCTTAACGTTACAGGAAGAAGATTCCTGCCTTGAACTTCAGATTTGTGCTATAAGGACATGGCTCCTCTAAGAAAGACATGTAGCCAATTCTGCTGATTAACCACAGTAGATACTTGTCTGTGACCTGAGCTTTGTAGTAAATGATTCAGGTGAATATTTGGCAGCAAAAGCACATAACACTCCATCCAGTGTTTCAGTCTCATGTTGCGACCAGCTTGAACTGGTATTATCTAGCCTCCTAAAAGGTGTTATAGACATCAAATATGCCAAATGGAAGAGAGAATACAGGAGTCAAGGGAATGAAATGCTAAGCTGCAAATAGATGTTGCACACCAAAGCAAAGTACTGAACCCTGTTCGGATGCTTTAGAGATCCACCTCTTTTCATCAGAACAACACTTCACCGATATGAGCATGTAAGAAGATATCTGCTTGAAATGTACACCCTCTAGTGGAGCAAAACACTTAGTACACAACATACCACAATGTCTTCAGGGTACAGATTATCACTGAAAGATCCATCATCAAAGTTGACCTCATAAAAGGTTTCCTTGGTTAAATTGACCACTTCACATTGGTAGAAACGCCCATTCTTGTGCTTGCTGATAACAGCCTGCCCCACAGCAAGATCCTGTAGAGCAGCCTTGGCTCGCTGAGGGAAGAGAAGCACTGTAGTCAAGCTTTATAGCCGGAACTAAATTTGGATCCTCAAGTTTGTGGGAGATTGTTGAGGGAACAAGGACTGCATTTTCTACTCCGTAAAGAAAGATAACCAGGACAAAGCTGTTTTTCAAAGTGCTGGTTTTAACCTATAAGGCCCTAAACAGCTTGGGGCCAAGCTATCTCAAGAACCTTATCTCCTTTTATGAACCTGTCTGGGTGTTGAAATCATTACGGAGGGGCCTTTCTCTTGGTCTCACCACCTTCACCAATATGTTTGGCGGTAGCATGGGAGAGGGCCTTCCCTGGCACTGCTCCAAAACACTGGATTTGCCTCAAACAGGAGGCTAGACTGGCCTCATCTTGACTGTCCTTCTGCAAGCAGATGAAGACCTTTCTCTTCAGGCAGGCTTTCCCTTAATGACTGGCTGTTGGAAAGGGGTTTTCTAAATGGATTGTTGTGTTTTATTGCTTTTAAATGTGTTTTAGTATTGATTTTATTTACCATTTTAAATATATTTGTTTAATTCTTTTTAAATATTTGTACAGTGGTGCCTCGCATTACGACGTTAATTCGTTCCAGCGAAATAGCTGTAGAACAAAAACGTCGTAATGCGAAAATAAAAAGCCCATTGAAACGCATTAAAACCTGTTTAATGCGTTCCAATGGGCTGGAAACTCACCGTCCAGCGAAGATCCTCCATAGGATGGCCATTTTCGGTGCCTGTGCAGCAAGGAATCCGTCCCAGAAAACAGCTGGGAGACATTTTATTTATCCGGTGGCCATTCTGAAACTGCCAATCAGCTGGAGGAAAATCGTCGTTTTGCGAAGAATTGGTTCCCGAAGCAGGGAACCAATCATCGCAAAGTGAAAAAACCCCATTCAGACCATCGTTTTGCAATCGCAATTGCGATCGTAATGCGGGGCAATCGTAAAGCGAGGCACCACTGTATACTTAAATGTCTGCACATTTAAATATAATCTTTTTAATTATGTAAGCCACATACAGTCCTTTTTAAGGAGAAAGGCGGGGTAAAATATTTTAAATAAATAAAACTAAATTAATAAAGCTGCCAATTAACACAAAGGCACTGGTCTGATAAACAGGAAAATATTCCTATTTCTTTTCCCCCTATAATTCTAAAGTTCAGCAATTTCACCTCAAATTCAAAATGTTTGTTCTGGTACTATACGTCTTTTGATTACTGATCATTTTACCACTGCTCAGGCTTCAGCTGGGCTGGCTAACATGTTCAAAAGTAATGGATCATCCATGGAAAATAAGGGCTATGTCTGACTTACCTCTGCCTGGGATGGGATTTTATGTCTGAAGCAAGTAATGAAGACTACAAAAGGCCAGTCATCTGGCTGCATCATGACTCCAGCTGCTTGCGCACAGCTAACATGGAAGGATGTAGGACAGCGGCCATGAGAACACTGTACACAGCAGCCAGCAATTCGCTTCCGCCGCTTCTTGCAGAAGACACATTTCTGTGAACACATAAGGTGAACACTGCAATCAAAGTATTTTGGGTCGACAGGTACCAGGAAACCTAGGCAACTGGGTAACTGGGAAGGACAGATTTTGGCATTATAAAATTCTAATCCAATTTGGATGCTGTATTTTTGTAGCTGAGGTCATGACAGAAATGTGAATTTATATCAATTAAGACTGGCTGGTAAACAAGCTTCCATAATCCCAAACCCTTTTTCAAAACTTGCATACAAATGTGACTAACGTGACCTGTGCTGCTCCAAACTACTTCTGCTATAGCCTCACAGCTGGTAAAGACAAGTGCTGAAATGCAAGCTAGCTGCTTCCTGTATCTGGGATTAAGCCAGCTACAGAAATGCGTTCCTTTCTGTAGAAGGCAACAGAACAGTCCTAAGTAAGACAAAGAAATTCAGGTGTTAGTGTAAGACCTTGGATGAGAGAAGGTTGAAAGAGACATCCACCTCTTTCTTATTACACTAAAATGGACACCTCTGTAGCTGATTCACACAAACTACCATAAAAATCAGTAATAACTTTTTAAAAAGAGCTTTTTTACCACACACATTTTTTGTTCTCTGAATTTTGTTTATCTCTAGAGGATCCCTTAAATTGGCCTTGATATGCTGCAGAGTATATTTAAGTACAGGGGTCACTGATGGAGTATGAGCCACAAACTCTTTCAGTGATCTTTGGGAGGCTATCATTTTTCAGTTACATTGCAGCCTATCTGCACTTTGGTGAATGATACTTAGTTATCTTATAGGACTGCTGGAGAGAGCGCTGAAATATTATGTGCTTTATATATATTTACCACTCCACTGCTGTTTTTCCTTCTATAATCTCATGCTACTATTATTATTTTGTATGTACATGATGTGCATATACATCATTTTTTCACTAGCTTTGTCAGAGACTTAACACATAAATCACATGAAAGCATACACTAAGACCACCAATCATTTCAGAGAAACAGAACCATGTGCTTTCTTACCAGCCGGAAGCGCTGCAGTGGTATTTTGCTGACATCCACTGGACTGCGTTCGGCAATGTTCACAAATCTAGCCTCCAGAACTGCCACAGCACACATGACATGGACCCACCTAAAAATAAAAAGCAACTAGGAGTTGGGATATATTGAGAAAGAAAGGGCTGCAGAAAGTGAAGAATGTTTAATAGTGATGAAGTATCTGACAAACGTGCACACCCTCTCATACATAAAGCAAGATGATCCTATGTACTGTACAAACTCTCACCTGGCCAGCTTTGCATCGAATCAGGAACACATATATTACCTAATCTATTGTTTCAAATAAGTGAACATTTCATGCGTCCTAGAAAACAGACCTTCCATATTTGGTTAGCCATGGAAACTCACTTGTTGTCATTAGCTTTTTGCAGTGCACCTCCTCGAAGTGAGCACAAGCAGCAATCCTTGATAGAGAAGGAAGAACAGTCATATTAAAAAAGAAAGTAGCATGCTCTTCTCAGAATCTCATGTCCTTAAAATGTCCAACATCCTCCCTAAACACACATGACCACCTGTGAGATACAGTCATGGTAAATTGCCATCTGAGATGTTAACTGCTTTTGTCTGTGAAGTCAGTTTCAATCTAACATACTAAAGAGGAAGAGGAATCAGTATTGTTATTTAATCACTTCAGTATGAGGTTCTGCTTTCATTATCATAGATCAGCTTTAATAACTCACATGAGCACATTTCATGGAAAATACAACTGCTGTTTGTTGAGACACAGTTCCACATCTAGTTCAGAGTTCTACAGAGATCTATCTAAATTTAAATGATGTAAATTTAAATGACATATTTTCTGACCGTTTCCCATAGATTACACCTAAACTGGCTCTAATTGTACAGAGTTGAGGCTCATGCCTGCAGTGAGAGGACTTTAGTGAATATTATATGGCACAATGTGGTCTTACCTCCTCTAAAGCATTAGCTTTGCATCTAGAGCATTTCCAGTCTTCAGTTGCCTTCTCAGGGGCTACTCCATAACAACCTATGAGTAAGTGAGAGAGAAAAGGCTATATGCTTATTTTTTGTTGCCTTTATTGAGAGCTGCCAAAATTTTAAACAACACTTTTCCAAAGCAGATTTTATTTTTTCATATCAATTATTACAGTAACAATGGGCTGGCATTCAGAACAAAAGAAGAAGAAAAGGATGGCATCACAGAATTAGAACAAAGGCTGCATCACCATTTTAGCTGGAAAGAGTTAATGAGAATTTCTAGAAACCTATTCTTTAAACCATGATTATATAGGAAAAGATAGCTGGTATCAAGAACTGGTTCACAACAGGGTTTGGAAAATATCTAAGAGCTAATGTTAATTTAGTACTAATCACACAAGATCTCAGAAGACATTCTGAATACCCAGAATACTGGCTGCCTCTAACTTTGAGATAGTAATAAGCAATAGAGTGGTATCTATTTCACCTTACTACTTGAGGTTGCCCCTATTATATGACAAATAAAGCATTAATATTATGCATCAATAACACACATCACACACATACCTGGCAACCTTGCAAATCACTTAGTTGTTAAACATAGATAATATGATAGTTAAGTTGCATTTTTGCTGTCAAAAAGGTTAGTAAATGAGGAGACATAACCCTAGAGTCTGAAAGGTGACACATACACCCCATTATTAGTATCTGGGCCTTGTTTTGTATGTCAAAGGGATGGGTACCCTAGCTAGAAATTAACTGCAACTGGGTAGTAACTAGGAATGTGTTCTTCCATGTTTTTGGACTCTGCAAGCAGAATTCTTGGAGTTTTAGACTAAAAACATGAATTTCAGATTGCTAGATTTTGCCCTCTTAGAGAAGGGCATACTTCTGTCACTGCATCTGGTTCTCTGGCCTTTGCTTTTTATTGTTAATTAAAAGAAAAATGGAGAAAAGAAAAGAAAGTTCAACAGTTTCTCTTGGGAGTCACAGTTCTTTGGGAGGCACACTCTAGAGCCTAATGGGCAATGAGACAATGCCCAGTGTCCTTCTTGCCCAGCAAGTCAATCACTCCCATGTCACATGACTTAGTGGAGGTCAGATCCTCCAAGGTGCAAAGGATGCTGGGAGTTGAAGTCTCACTTCTCAGCTTAGAAATGCCAAAAGTAAAAGCTTTTCCCTTTAGGAAACCTGCAATTAGATGATGCAGTGATGTAGCAAGTGATGTGATTCAGTGATGTAAAAAGTATTTTTAAATATAGTTTACGTTTTCTGCCTATTAATTTACTTGGTATGCTCAAGTTCTACTACGTAGAAGGATTATGAATTTTGTTCTTTTACTTGTCAACTCATACTAAATGCACTACATTCCACTTTATTTGACCATCTAATTGTTTGTACAAATCACTGTAGGCCCAGAATGCAGCTTTCCTATCTCTCTGCCTTTTAACACTCACAGAAACAAGCAGTTCTGAGCTGCAACACAATCACATTTCCCACTTTAAAAATAAAGTAAAGGTTCCCCTTGACATTTAGTCCAGTCGTGTCCAACTCTAGGGCGCAGTGCTCATCCCCATCTCCAAGCCGTAGAGCCAGTGTTTGTCCATAGACAGTTTCCGTGGTCACGTGGCCAGCACAACTAGGCACAGAGCACCATTACCTTCCCACGGAGGTGGTACCTATTTATCAACTCGCATTTACATGCTTTCAAACTGCTAGGTTGGCAGGAGCTGGGACAAGCAACGGGAGCTCACTCCATCGCTTGGATTTGATCTTATGACTGCTGGTCTTCTGACCTTGCAGCACAGAGGCTTCTTCGGTTTAATCCGCAGTGCCACCATGTCCCTTTTTTTAAATATAGGTGAGGTTATTTCAAAGAGATATATTTTAATAGAGAGGCAACATATAGTATTAGATTATAATGTCAGTTGTTCGTTAGGTCCACAATACATAATACTCACTGGCATGCACACGGACTCTGCAGCGCTTGCAAGTGATCAGAAGACTGGTGCCATCTTCCTCCAAGTAAGGTGTAGAGAGACTGACATCTGTGCTGCAACCAGTGGTAGTAAAACACATCTCAGGAATTAGAGGTTTGGTTCTCATCTTTCCATCAGCAGCATCTGGAACCACCTGTGAGCTCTGGTTTCCACAATCTGCCTGTCAGAAAGAAAGAAAAAATGCATTTACAGGAGACCAGCTTAGTAAGACATGTTACAGTGCTGCTATAAACAAGTCCACTTGCCCATCTGAAATTTAACCCATATATATGCTATCTTTTTGGTACTGTCATGGCAAAAGCCTACAACAAATATTAATTTACTCTGTCTAAATCAGAATAAGCAACTTAGCTTATTACTGACAAATCAGAATTGGAGTTTGTAAAATTCTTTGCTAGAAAAGAGAAAGTATTACTGATAATGAATAATAAGTTGTACTAATATAGGCCTATTGAATCAGTAGGGATCTGGTGAGTCACCTCTTCTAATTTCTATTGAATCAAATGGACCTGCTGTAACTGCAATGTATTTTTGCATACATAATAAGTCACAACTACAGTAGTGGCTGTAACTGCAATGTATTTTTGCATACATAAGTCACAACTACAGTAGTGGAACTCATGGAGGAGGTGACTTACCAAATCTCCACTGGTTCACTTGGCCTACCCTACAGGTGACTTACCAAATCTCCACTGGTTCAATTGGCCTACCCTACATTAAATGACATGGTTTTGGCCAATATTATGCCTAAGAGAACTGATGCAAAACAATCTACATCATTAAGACAGATGCAAATTTGAAATCATACTTCAAATAGTTCTTCTGAAAAGGCATTGTTGAATGCTAAAAAGGAAACACAGGAAAATAGCCTCCAGGTTAGGCTGTGGATAAGTAGGAATCAGATTTACAAAGGTAAACATGCATGCAAATGTTCAGTCTGTCGGTGGCAACCAAACATGAGGCTACAAACACAGCAACACAGGGCAACAGATGTTGTGACTTCAGTGCCACTTGTAATAAAGATACAGTGAGATTATTTAGATATTTGCAGTATCAACTGTACAGCTGAAGTAGTACTACAGCTGCAATCCCCAGTTTACATGGACCATATCTGCTCAGTATCCTGTATTACCAAGGTCTCTAAAAGAATTTAACCTGCTCACCTGGTAGGTCTGGAAGAGCATGCAGACTGCACAGTAGGGAGCCTGCTGAGCCATAGCTGTATTATATGCCTTTTCTGCCTCAAAGTTTGGAGGGCGATTCTGCCATAGTTGGCTGAGGGGCTTTGCCCATGCTTCTGTCTCCTCAGTTTCCTCTTCCAGTGCCACCTGCTCTGACATTTCTGCAGTAACATATACATTAGGATCAGTCAGCATTTATAAGCTTTTAGCTTTCCCCAACCAACCATGAGAATACAGTGGTGCCTTGCTTAACGAGCGCACCGTACAATGACGAAATCGCATAGCGATCCCTTTTTTGGGATCGCTAATGCGATCGCTCAACGAGCTTTAGATAGGGCGAAATTCGCTTTGCGAAGATCGGTAAGCGTTTCGCTTACCGATCTTCGCAAAACAAAGCTCCAACGATCAGCTGTTCGGCGGACAAAATGGCCGCCGGAAGCCCCAAAATGGCCGCGCGCAGCGTTTTCACGCCCTCCCCTCGCTTAACGAGGGCACGAAAATGGCTGCCGGCCATAGGAAACTGCGCTGAACGGTGAGTAAAGGAGCCTTTTGGAACGCATTAAACGATGTTTAATGCGTTCCAATGGCTTTCCCTGTCCCGTTCAGCGATGTTTCGCTATAGCGAAGGTTAATCCGGAACGGATTAACCTCGCTATGCGAGGCACCACTGTAATTTGTATAGATTAAGCAAAGACTTAAGTTTTACCAATTGCACAACAACATCTGACTGACAATGCACTATCACAAGTGACAACTATAACCTGCCTCAACTTTTTTTTACTAGACACAATGACAACCATAGCTCCCCCATATGCTGTTCAATGTTTCCCACACAATTAGCTTTCCGCCTACTAAGGCTTTGGGGCCAACAACTTGGAAGTGATAAATACCAACAACATATCGAAACAAAAATAATTTTAAAGAGATATAAAATATATTTTATTTTAAATTTTTCCATCTTAGAAAAACAGTGTTCTTCTTGGTTCTAATCTAGTTGCTGAAAATTCTGACATCAAATAAACGCAGGTTCAGCTAATCAAAGGCTTCATATTCCCAGGAATTACAAATCAAAGGCTTCCGGAAGAGGATGGAACAGGATACCATATTTTTTTTTGGTACTGTAACGTAAAAAGAGGTGAAACTTTCAAGAGACTGGAGGGGCTGAATACTTTCATCACTGCCAGCTTTATCATAGACAACATGCCTTCATTATGGTAAGGAAAAAGAATCAAGCTCACCGTCATCACTGAAGCTGTCTTTAACAAGTAGTGGATGATGTCGTGGGAGTTTGCTCAAGGGCTGGCGACGCCCTTTTGATTTCTTACGATCTTTTACTGATCTTATGTATTCCTTCGCCATCTGGATAATATAGAAAGAGGTCAGCAGCCATAATATTACAGAAACAGGTCTAGCACAGCATAACAGATTTAGAAAAAAAATTGTTAAACTGAAACTACCAGGAAAGGAGGGATCAACTGAATTTTAAGCTGGTTTTGGACAAATAGCTTTGTACCAAAATTTTGCTTTTAATCAGAGCATTACTGATTAAACATTAGAGAAGTTTGTGTGCTTTACTATTTCATTTCTGCTATGTGCAAGTCTTTCACCCTGAGAAAGTACTCATGTATTAAAAAACAGAAATATAAATATACGGCTTCTAAGTATTAAAGTACCTATATAGGTGTCCAAAGCTGAAAAAGTAGCCCTCACACATACTGCCTGCAATGTCTATTTGCTCTAGCAAAGTACTCTAAGGACTAAGCTGATAATGTGCTCTGTTGCTGTTTAGTCGTTAACTCATGTCCGACTCTTCGTGACCCCATGGACCAGAGCACGCCAGGCTCTCCTGTCTTCCACTGCAATGTGCTACCTTACATCAAAAGAGTAAGCAACTTGTGCCCTTCCAGTATTGCTGATTACAACTTCTCTCAATCCTAGTCACTACCGCCACAGTAAGGGAAGAGAGGAGTGCAATCCAACAACATCTGAAATGCCACAAGCTGCCCACTTGAGGCCCAGAAGACACATTTTAAAACAAAGACTGCAGTCTTAGCAAGAAAGCTGTCCATGTTAACAATTATTAATTAAATCCTGTCTGTAATGCATCCTAAAGCACAGTGGTCCCCAACCTTGGGTAATCGAGGTGTTCTTGGACTGCAGTTCCCAGCATTCACCACCAGCTATGCTGGACAGGGTTTCTGGGAGTTGCAGTCCAAGAACTCTTGGGTTACCCAAGGTTGCGGACCACTGCTATAGCATATGTATCTCTCATGCAACCCCTTGCTCCCCCGATGATCTCTCCATTACTTTTGCAAGCTCCTGTTCATTCACACTGGCTGTAGCACTGGCGTTCTTCCCAGAGGGCCATTCATTGTTCATGCCATTGGCTTCTTCTTTAGCATAACTGTGCACTGTGAGGATCTCGGTCTGCTCCACAGCCTGCCTGGGGAAATCAGATGGTTCCGAATCTGAGGAACCTGAAGAGAGAGAAGAACTAGACTGCAGGCTGGAGACAGAGCTCTGCTGCTTCATGGCAGACTGGGTCAAAGCTGAAGTCACAGAATGTGAAATGGAGAGATCCAGAACAGCTGCTTCTGGTTCCTCCTCCTCTTCCTCCTCCTCATCCAGTTTGACATTTTTCAGTTCTTCAAATTTTACATCTGAGGAATCTCCATATTCTGGATCAAGAACAAAGTTTAAAGCACTCATTAGCAACTGACCTTGAAAAAAATATATCCAAAGCACTTCTTAAAGCCTGAAAATTAACTAGGGCTTCCAGAGATGAGCCACTATGGGACACCAAGTTACACAAGCACTGCCCCAATAAGTCACGTTTCCGGCTATAAATTCAAAATCTGAGAAAACATTCCAGCTCAGTCCTTTCCCCTATTCTCGTAACATATATACAACCATCTCATCCATGTTATTTAATACAGGATTCTATCTCACCTCCATCTACATCCCAACTACACTGCTCAACTATTCCAAAAAATGTAACACATTGTGTTACGTTACCTTTAAGTAACTTAACACAGTTAAGTTACTTTTTTAATGATTTGCATGAGAAGCTGCTTGTCACTGTCACCACTGACAGCTCTCCAATTCCACAGCAATTCCTTCACAATATTTGGTTGAACACCCAGTTCTTTGGGGTTCATTGCTACTCACTTTTAATGTTTTTAACGAAAAGCTTTTAATAGCATATCACTGGTAGATTGTGTCAAATGATGAAGATGAGCAGCTGAGGTGAATATAACTTCAAAGAAACCATCTAGCTTCTGTGCACTTGCCCCAGTCACCTTGAAAATGTCTTTTCTATTCAGCTTTAAATATTTTTTCCTATTTCTTTGTTGGGCTGCAGTGGACATGAGCACAGCCAGAGAGTCGTAAAATTACCTGGGGGTGCAAGCCCTTGGTCTCCTTGCTGCACAGGCTCCCTAGCAGGTCCAACTGAAGACTCTGCAACATCCATCTCGAATTGCACTGCGGCAAACTCCTCCTTTGGAAAGGCTTCACTTTGGCTCACTTCATGAGGAACCTCCAAGCAGACCCGGTGTCGCTTAGTTCCAATGCGATGCCTGGGCACACTGCAATAAATAAACCTACATATTAAACAACTCTAACCAGCATGTTATGCTGCTCTCTTTAAGGACTAGATTGTTTATAGCCTTTCACAAGCCAAAACTGCAGCTCTAAAATAGCTGTATTTGCATGGAGATAACATACTATCCACAAGAGAAAAATGCTGACAGGGCACCTCAACCCACTCTCTGGTACAGGATGACTCAGATGATAGGCATTCATTGACACCAATAGTTGAAAGAAGTGTTGTACCACTTCTTTCTCAACTGCAAATAACCCTTATTGCAAGGAGAAGAGTCAAGCAAGAGACAAATGGACTATTACAAACAAGTCCGCTTCCACATGTGAATAAAAATATCCACTTTGAATGTAAACTTGTATCAGCCAGAAGGTTGCTATTTTTACGCTAATATAATAAGATACCCGAATTAAAGCTACATTAACCTTTTACATGCTTTCTCATTGGCCTATGAGACAAATATTTTTGACACAATCTGTTCAAAGATATCAGCCATCTTCCTTCAGATTTGTTTTCTTACATCTACAAATTCACCAGCATACTGCAAGATGGATTTAAAAAAAACATTTTTAATAGGCACAGCCCAAGTAGGTTGACTATTACTTTAGGTCAAAATCAAATGTGTGGAGAAGTTGAATGAATGAATACTAAAGAAAATAAGAGGAAAGAAAGAAGTTGGGTAACACTATCATGTTCCCATAGCCTGCAGTTTTTAACAGTCTTTTAAGACAGACTGCAGATGAATTGCATATATGCTTGGTAGTACAAGTTCTTCTACAAATTAAACTACAATTTCTATGAATAAAAAATACTCAAACATACTTCTTCTTTTCTGTCTCTTCATCTGATTTGCATTCTTCTTCCAGTTCCAGTTCCTCAGGGCACTGTTTCTCATTTTTAACTTTCTGGAGTAGTTCGCCCTTGAAAAACTCTGCTGCCTCTGGTGTCGGAAGAGTATGATCAATGGATGTTGTATCTTTCCCTGCTTTCCAGAGCTTGTAGCGATCTGGCTGGTATTTCCTCACAAAAACATCCATGGAGATTTTGACCATGTCCTTTCGGCATGAACACTGTACGAAACATCAAACTAGATTAGGGCACATACTTCCTTTCAATCTAATATAATGTCTTCCATGCTTTCTGCTCCTGTAATCACTGAAAATTTTCAGATTAAATCATCCCAAATCAGAGCTAATAGTAGATGCAGAGCTTTGAAGCAGAAAAGGGAGATGGAAACAATGCCAGTTTGCTATGGGCTTGCATTCTGAGGCCAACGGATTTCTTGGATGCATTCTGTATCTTAAATTTGTAAATGATGCAATTAAATAAAATACAGAATCAGTAAACGTCTTGTAATTATCTGAGGCTACAACATTATCAATGGTAATAGGCATAGACCTGATCAGACCTCCTGAAGGAAAAACCCTGGGAATCTCAGGGAGGAAGGTATATGTTACATCCAACTTATCTGAAGAGTACTGGGTGAATCAGCAGGCTCCATTACTGTATTTCTATTTCAGAAGTCTTATTTTTACACAGTGGATAAAGCCAAGTGTAGGTACATTTGAGAAACTATGTTAACAGGCAACTGTGGAGTTTAGCTTAACAAATGAGAATTGTTCTGAATTAATGTATTGCAATGGCTATTCTGACCGTTCAAGGTAAGAAAGCAACAATAGTTCTGTACAGCAAATCACAAGAAATTCAGAGACCTTTTTTGTAGCAAACCTCACTGTGCATGCTTATAAATGATCTCAATCTCAAAAGGTTAAAATATTTATTTCAGCTCTTGTTGTCCATGACTATTGATAAAAAATAATTTATTGCCATTTACCATAGAACATCGAGTGGCTAAACAGACAACAAAAATATCATTTTTCTAAACATATGGGGAGAAGGAAACAAGACACCTACTAGAACCGATTGCTTTCCATACTCAATCCACCGGAGTGTGGCAAAATTAGTAGATTCAGCACAGTTGAAGCCATGATTAAAACCAGCATGATATCCATAAGGAAAGGTTATCATGAATTCACCTGCTTCTTGGGTAATCTGGAAGAGAGAAGTATACAAGTATTGCTATAGTTCATAATCTCTACAACTCATTCTTCTATTAGTACTATAAGAATGGAAATAAAAAGGTTTTTTATGCCTATCTTTCTGGAAAAATGATATAGAACAAGGATGAATATCATTTAGGCTTTAAGATGTCGCTGAACTGCAACTCCTATCAGTCCCATAGTCAATTATGATGAAAGTGGAGAAGACTCCAACAACATCTGTAGAGTAAGACATTCCTATTCCGATACAGAAAAAGATGACCCGCTTAAATATCCCAAAAAGCCAAAAATGTATTCTGAGAATGTAACTGGGAAATAAACCATTAAGTTAAAAACCAACAAGCAAATAAAACAAAGATGGGAGGTTTGTTGAAGAACTACGTAGGGCAGCGGTCTCCAACCTTTTTAACCCTGTTGGGGAAGGCAGGGCAGCATACTCAAAGGAGCACACTTCTCTCTCTCATGCAGACGTGCTTATACAGATGTGTGAAGGAGCTGGAGGACACTCGTGTGGGCGTGGACGCACTTGTGCACATGTGCAAAGGGTGGCGCAGTGCTCAGGCGCGCACTTGTAAGAATGCACAACAGGCCGGGTGGCACTCGGGGGGGCAGTCATGTGCATGGTCAAAGGGGTGGGGAGCACTCGTGTGCATGCACAAAGGGGTTGTGCGGGGCGGAGTGTGTGCGGGGGGGACAGGTCTGTCTCCATGGCCCAGTCTAGCTCAGGCCATGGACCTGACTCTAATTATGACTAATTTTATCTGGCCTATTTCACTTAGGTTAAAAAAAAACAATCTACAACTTAATTATATATGATTGAAAACACACCTGTAAACAAATGTTTAGATTAATTATTGGGAACTAAAGCTTCAAAAGACTGATAACTAGCAACATCACAAAACTGCCTTTTCTCTTTCACCATGCAAAAACTGTATAAATAGACTCAGAAGAGAATTATGTCGAGGTGAGTTATGCTAACTCAGCAGAAATCAAATGCATCACACACACCACCACCTTGCACTGCATCAAGCGGTACATCTCAGAACTCATTTGCAAAGCTGCAAGTAAGTTGCCAAATTTAAAGCAAATTATACCATTCTGAAAATGGGAGCAGAAGAGACATGTCAAAGTTTTAACTTAGTCATTTGAGATAACCCAGGCTCTGCAACAAATTTCTGATATGTGGAATGCTTCTGACCATGGCTTTGCTTAGTCCATTTCATGCTCCACGCCCTGGTTTTCTTATTCCCCACTAAAAAGTCAGCAGGGGGCATAAAATGATTTTAAATGCAAAACAATCAAATCAGCAGTCAGAAGAGCAAGTGTTAACCTGAGCTGTTATAGGATTTGATATAGTGGTGCCCATTTACATCTACACAGTAATCTTCAGTTTATCCACCAATTTCTTTAGGTAGGTAACATGTCCTTCTCTAAAAAGTCCTCCTTGTGAACTGACCTGTCTAGACAATAATGGTTTTCTCTGCACACTTCATACATCTATGCATCTCTTCTTCAGTCCTCCTTTTATATATCCTCTCTCTCATTCCTCTTCCTCCCAGTTTTCAGACTTCTTCTCACTCAGAGTCAACAACAAGTGAGTACCAAACATGTGCAGGCCAATATCCTACAGCAAATGTTCAATGTGCAAGTCAAAGATAGACCCATACTGGATACTTTTTTTCCCCACATACTCTGGAAAAGCCTAGCTGCTGGCATAACAGAGCACTGTATATGTTGAACATGGCAGAATAATTCTGGCCACAAAGTGCCATTTTGAGAAGCAATTAATTTTATGCCCCCCCTCCCCCGAAAAAATCAGGGGGGCATCTGCACATTTCTGGATTCCTGTTGTATGCAACAGTTAACATTTTAACTACATGATTAAGGGCACTCAAATAATTGAATTCCAGTGAAAACAAAGGGTATTGGGTTTTTGGCCTTTTTATCTGCTCTTCAATATCCCACTGCTACAATCTTGCAATTGTCTCAGGTGGTTCCTGCATTTGCTCTGAAGATGTAGCTACACCAGTTCTCCTTCCATACCTTGTCAAATGGGATGCCATACTTCTTCAGTATTGATGGAGAAATCAGGGTCATCTTGTGACGGAGAAAAGCTTCACAGCTCTGTGCACTTCCGGGAAAGAAACCTGTTTAAGTGGAAAAAAAACTGGTTGCTTTTTCTGTCTAGACAGACAACTGAATAAAAAAAGGCTTCCCCTATACTCTCCCACTAAGGACCTAAATACTTTAAGTCAAGCAATTATGAAGGAGAGAAAAAGAATTACAAATAACTGACAAAACAAACAGTAGCTAAAAGGCATCTTTTAGGACAAGAGGTGCTCAGGTTGCAGCCACAGTTTCTCTTACGGAACAGTGAGGTTACACTTTCTATTATGACATCTCTTGCCACAATGCAACTACTTAGAAGGATGTAGATTTTTTCCATTAGCAGTGCAGAGACATGTTGAAAACAGGTCCATGGCCTAGTAGACTTTAAACATTTTAAAAGAACATTGTATATTATGTAAGGAAGGCAGAATGGCATACATAAGATCCACTTCCAACATCTAGTAGGGTTGACTGTTTGTATTGAGAGTCCACTTTTAGATGGGGTCCTGAAAGGTGATGAATTGTGTTTCTAGAATTCTGTAGAGGGAGAACCACAACTATCACTTTATTTATTTTTATTTATTTATTTGATTTTTACCCCACCCCTCTAGACCATGTCTATCACTTACATAATCCCTGAGCCTATTTTGGATTTTAAAATGCCTTTTTTGAAATTATTTTGTTTCTATTTCAGAAAAAAAGGCCTTTTCGTACTTAAAACAAGCCAAGGTATGGAGGTTCCACAGGAAAGTAGTGCCCCTTCAGAGGAACTTGGAGGGCGTAATTCTCCATTTCCCACTCAATTCTCTTCAGCCATCCAAGGTCCATGGAAAGCAAGAACATGCTCAAATCCAAAGATACTACTTAACCTGTTGGGCACAACCCTCCACATTCACATATGCAGTGAGTCTCTGCATAGCAGGTCTTTAAGGTCTCAACAGAGATCCTTCCTACATTTGATCAATTAGCATCCTAGTGGTGTCATGGTTTGAATGTTTGTTATACAAAGTATGTGCTCTGTCACATACAGCCCCTCGTCTTCTTATGTTCTATGCTCAAACTGATTTACCAACATTAGTTCCCAGCAGCACAATCACCACTGTAACAGTAAACGCACACATGCTTTGGTGTGACTATTGCAGGCGCCTATTGCATAGTGCAGATGACTAACAGTTGCTCTTTCAACTCAAAGAATGTAGAAGCTGAGGAGTTGGCCATGAAATTTTGCTAACTTTTAAGACACAATGAAAGCTTGTCCATATCTGTTTCCATAAACAAAAGAAAAGGAAGCAGTGCAAAGATAATTTATTCAATATGCCATTTTTTAAAAAATTAGTTCTCTTAAGAATTAATACCTAGAGCAACAAATCCTTGTGAGATGATCTCAACAATTTCATCACTCCATTCATAAACTATTTGGGAAAGAGAGGTTTACTAAATGGCATCTGTGTCATAACACTCAATTCGGGCTACAGCTATGGTAATGTTATGTTACACCTCTGCTCAAAAACAAATCATTTTTGAGACAAAAGAGATTGTTACCTTTAGCAAGACGTTCTAGCCGTTTCCCATGCTCTGGAGGAACAGAATACCTGTAAAACCCAAACAATTAAGAAAACAATAAGAATTTCAGGCTCAATGCTGCAAGAAAGCTTAACAGGCAAATAATTATGATTTTCACAGTAAGAAAATTTAAATCAATTCACCTTCCTTTCTACTTTTGTTAAACTGAGGAAATCAGAAAGCTTGTTTTCCAGAAAGGCTGGCAGAAATTCTGCTGTATCTCTCTGCATGTGCAGTGGATATGATGTCACCGATAATGGCAAAGCAGATGATTAAATGTGATTTTGGAGTACAATGCAATTCAGTACCACAAAAGTCACCAGATAAAGCCTTTAATCAGTGTTAGTTTGCTACTACTTCAGATTTAAAGAGTAGGATTTCAGCTCCTGTCTTACTAGATAATTAATTAAATAAAAATATAGAGACAAGCAAAGTATATTTTTCTGTATTATGTATGTAACTACAAGTAGAATTATTCTATATCATTCATTCTTTCTTTAAGGATTGTCTCACCATGATTTTGGTTCTCCAAAATGCAAGTAGTTGATACTGTAGAGATCCATGTCCTCAGTGTGCCAAGCAAAGGAAGTTTTCCACATCCCAAAATAGAGATACGGTGTATTCACCCCTTCAATGGTAATGCCACTTTCATTCTCCACAATATCCAAAATTGTATTCAGACGGCCAATATTCCACTCATCTACATGCTTTAAAAAAAATTAAATGAAGATAATCAAAGAAGAGCCACTAGTTTATATGGCACCAGCTGTCACCCTCTTACTATCCTTTACTTTATACCATGTATGCCCAAGCCACTTTGGGTCCTTTTAAGGACAAAGGCAGGGTAAAATATTTTAAATAAATAAATACTAACCCATATCTACTGCTTCCAAAACTACCATGGCTTTCAAAATAAAAAGAGTTCATAACATTATTTAATATGTATTTCTCCTATTCTCTACCGTATTTATTGCTCCGGTAAGTGGGGATGGATATACTTGCATTAGACTAAAACAGATACCACCTTCAACAGCACAATTTGATGCCTAGAAGAGCTTAGTATTAAAGCAGTTTATAATTAGCACTGAAAATCTATAAACTCCAACATTATTAGAGAAGCCCATGTGTCCCGTTCCCTCTTTACCTTGTCATAGAGTGTGCCATTAACATCTGCACCATAGATTGGAGCATTGAATGTAAGATTTTTCCAATATTTGCGTTCAAGATCTTCAAAGTCTGTATACCGAGGTGTACAATACCTAAATTAGAATAGATTCATTTTTATAAACAATTTCTCCACTAACTTTCTTGTCCATGGATCATCACAAAATGAGCCAGTTTTTTAAACACCACAGACAGATGTTTAAGCAAGAAGTGGATTAAGTACAAACATTGAAAACCATAGAGTAAAAGATAATAAACTGCTATCTCCCTTCATACCTGAAGTGGCACACTAGGCAATCACACTTAAATACTACACCAAATACTTTCAATGTTTTGAAAACTAAAAGGCTTCAGGGAAGATATTGCATGGCTGAACAATTTTCTCCAAATTGTTTTGGTAATAACACTTGACAAAGCAAGCAAAGGGACATCCAGGCAGGTTTCATCAGGGTAAAAACTGGAACCACAGAAATGGATCAAACCCAGTATCTTTTAGAGCAGTGGTTCTTAACCTTTGTTATTCGGATGTTTTTGAACTGCAACTCCCAGAAACCCCAGCCAGCACAGTTGGTGGTGAAGGCTTCTGGGAGTTGCAGTCCAAAACTTCTGAGTAACCCAAGGTTAAGAACCAGTGTTTTAGAGTTTGCATGTTCTACATTGCTCCTTGGAGCTGTCCCATTCCTTTGTGCACAGGGAACTGCATTTTTAATAAAAAATAAATGGCAGTCCATACACACAGAAGCTTCTTTACAGAACCTTAATCCACTTAAGTACACTCTATATTGCATTTAATCCACCTCCTGCTTAAACATCTAACTGTAGCTAAACTCCAAACTGGGCATCAGATTTTGCCTGGATTGTGATTGCTCAGAATACAGACCTCTGTATCTACGACTCATACTTGTACAATTGAATTAGTTCAACAATATTAGCTTATACTATCACTTTGTTTTTCATTACTTTAAGCAAAAAAAAGGTATAGAAATTTATTCAAAATATACTTCCAAAAATTGATATAACTCGTACTATACAAATCACAGTTGAACATTTTAGACATTAACAACATAACTACAAATAGTTTTAATTTAACAGAGATTAACTCCACATAGTGATCCCTCTATAATTCAGAACACTGGTGATGTTTTAGAAGATTTCCAACTATTTTAATTTTTTCACCTTTCCCTAATCTTCCCTTAGCAACCACAATGAATAACTGCTCTATATCCTGCTTATAGTAATCTGGAAAAACTATTTAAGCAGAATATAGTCACTCTTCTAAAAATCACCGACTGTAAACTTTTTATTTACAGAGAAATAGGAAGCATCAGAGAGATACTTAGCAATGTCCTTACTTATCACTGTTCGCTATCTTTCTGAACTCGCGGACTGTCATAGCTTTCTTCTGGATGTTATACTGTGTGAAGAGACCTGACTGGCCAGTGACGACTTGCTGAATGGGAGCAGGGATATTCAAATCATCAATATCATCATACCATCTTCTTGGCTTCCATTCCTTAGGAGGAACAACCTACAAAATTCAGAAGACAAACAAGGAAAAGGCTTACAAAATCCAGCAAGTAAATAAGTCTACAGAGAGTAGATCTGAAAACATTATTTCTATCTTAATTTCAGATAGTATTCCTGTAAATGTAATAGTGTGTTCACTGGTTCAAAGAATGCTGTAATAAGGCATTCTATTTAGTACCTTATAATAATAGAAGGAAAGCTAAACACATCAACACTGCATAATTTACCTGCAACAGCCTTGTAACATACCATACGGTATTTCCCCAAAGTAACAATTGTTAATAGGGGTACAGGAGACATCCTACAAGGACAGACAACCAAATTCTTCAGGCTGCCAGTAATTTCAAACGCTGGGTACACAGGACTTTTAAAATTCAAGTACTAAAACTATAAATATATATGTATTATCCAAAGTACCAATCACCATAACCATCAATTAGAATTAGACTGTTCACATAAATTACAATAAACACTGGCTGTAAAATTATTATTATTATATTAAAAATGTTATGTGAAAGGCAGGTTAGTACATGATGTCAGGTTGCACCTGCTTAGGAGCACTCCTGTATAACTAGTACAATACTTCAGCTTAAAAATTGGATGCCAAAATGGCTCCTGTGTTGATACTAAAAACTACCCAAAATACCCACTGGTGAGTACGGAAAAAAAGTATCAAGGATCAGTTACCAGTAAGTAACTTCCACAGAGTAGCATCCTGCTTATAAAAAAGTGCCTAAAAGATACATTTCTATGTCAATGGCCCAAAGCCCTCCTACTGCTAATAGATTACTAGAAACAGTGCATATCTTTATTTTTAGAGGTTTCTGCGCACCAAAACCATAGTTCTAAGAATTTATTCTGGAAAATGGATAAACATTTTGGCACACCCTACAGAAATAACATTCTACATAGACTCATTTGTGCTACTCTCATAATTTCACAAAACAGTGGCTTATACTTCCTATTTCTCTTTACAGTATTTTCTTAAAGCAAACACTGTCATACAAATGCATAACCTTCTTCTATTTCCAGTAAGATAATTAATCACATATTCCAAAGAACCCATGTTGGGTAGACGTAGAAATAATAATGGGGTCACACATGCTGACTCTGGACAAATGTGTATTAAGGCTGTACCCTCATCCACATCTCCCTGTCCTGAGTAAAGAGGTATGAATGGAAGTTATTCACATCTAGCTGGAGATGTTCGCTGAGTTCAGATCTGGCTATTCTGGCAGTAGTATGTCTGGGTAATGAAGGCTAGGATCACATAAGAGGGTTAATATCAGCATGCTCGGCCTGACCCCTGCTCCAATTTGAGACTTTATGCATTCTTTGAAATGCATGAGTATAAAAATTTCTGAAAAATTATCTAGTGAAGCTGTAGAATGCCGGAATCACTACCCTTGATTCATAATGAAAATAAACAAATGCATTTTTATAATCAGTCAGATGTATCTGTAATAGGAATAATCTCTGATCTCTGATGACTACCCTGCATGGTAAACATTAGCAACACTGGAGCACAGAGTGATGTCCTCTGAAGATGCCAGCCACAGAGTCTGGTGAAAGGTTAGGAAGAACAACCTTCAGAACACGGCCAAAGAGCCCGAAAAACCCACAACAACCATTAGATCCCGGCCGTGAAAGCCTTCGCGAATACCTTTTGCAGTCTTTCTTACCTTTGCCAGTCCAGCTCGATGGGCTCCTTGGGACTCTATGTATGCAACGTATCGGCTGAAATTTTTGAACTCTTCCATAGTTGGATGGAAAGTCATTATCCTGGCGCTTGGATTTAGCTTCTCTAATTCGGATGCCATTGTTCACAATTGTGTTTGTCACATGTGAAAAAGGCTTAATACACCTACAGAAAAAAGAATACAAACAGGCTATCTAGAGCAGAGGAAGCATAATAAAGCAAAATGAACATAAAAGTATTGTATTTAGTTTAAAAAATAGCAAAACTAAGGCCCAACTGCCTTGAGAATGAAATAATAGAAAACCTTTCTAACACTTATCTTGATGTAATCAACTCCTGATGTCAGCATGTCTCTCTAACTTCAATGTGCACATTAAGTGCAACATTGTTTTTAAAAAGCCCAACAAAGCACAAAAATCAGTGTGTATCTCCTATATGGCTCTTTACTTTGGGAAAAAAAACCCTCATAATTGCTATTTTGGCTACTGGAAACTAAGGTAAAGAAAAGGTTTGATGACTACTAGAGAAATAGTGTAGGATATAGTGTCAGATTAGGGCTTTGGCAACCTGAACTGTGCCAGTATCAAGGCCACTCCTTAAACCCCTACTAGGATCGTCTAAGTCTGAATCAACTTAACAACATGACACAGAGAAAGCACACGGGGGGAGGGAGAAAGAGTAGGAGTACCATGAATCTACAAGGCATCAGTTTTGAGACAACTGCTTCTAAGCAAACCACTACGCCAAAGAAAAAGGAAGGGAAAGGGAAATATGCCTCAGTTGCAGTGCACATGCACCTTCCCACATCCGTGTTTTGTGTTTATACATAAGGTAGAAAAGCCTGGCCAACAGAGAAAAAGAAGGGGAGCTGCACCCACCCCCGGCTGCTCAAAGGGTCGGGTTGCCTACGGGCAGGGGGGCTTGCAGTTCCCCTTCCCGGGTGGCGGGGGGGGGGGGAAGAGAGAGAAGAATCAGGCCCCCCCCCCACTCGTGGCTGAGGGAGGGGTGAGATGGAGAGAAGGGAACCGACCGACGCTTCCTTCTCCGGCGCAGAGAAAAGGAGGCCCTGCCGTTGAGAGGGAAGCACCGCCGGGCCTCTCTCCCACCGCACAGGAAGGAAGGAAGGAAGGCAGGCAGGAAGGAAGAAGAGTCCGTCTTCCACTCCCACCTCAAGCCCCATCTTACTCGTCTTCCCTGCGAGGAACCCGAGCGCTCCCGAAGAGTCTCATCCCCCGATCAACGACCCAGGCCAGCCGAGGAAACCGCGCCCGCACCACGCTCCCCTTCCACCCACCCATTTCCCCACTACTCTCACGGCCCACCTTCGGCCACGGATCCCCGAGCAGCAGCAAACCCCCACCCCCGTTCTTACTCACCGAGGCCCTCGCAAGGACCACCTCAACCAACCTCTGACAGGGCCCGAAGAGTATTAGCCTGGGGCCAGCACCGTCCTTGGGCCCGCCCCCTCACGGCACGCTCACTACTTTCCCCAGCCACGTCCAATCCTCACAAGCTCCTGCGTCGACTTTACTCTCTCATTGCCTATCTACGCTGTCAATTATTTTACGTCTTCGTTGCGTCAGCTTTGCGACAGCAGCTCGAATTACCGCTCCCCGCCGTGAAAGTAGTTCGGCAGTGATTTACGAACTGTGGGCGACGTCGTTACGCTTCTGTTTTGTTCGAGGCGAAAGGAGATCCATCCGCTGAAGTTACTAAGGAGAGCGTGCCGTCTGTATCTGTTCCTGTCTCGTCTTTTCATTCCCCTCCCCGCCCCCGTCTTCTGCTGTTCTCCCCATGAGTTTAAAGTAATTATCATTCAAATCCAGTTAGTAAAGTAAAACGTATGAATGAAGCTAGCCAATCATTGGGGAAAAGTATTGTTGCTAAGCAGATTTCGTACCAGGCAAAGATGCTGAGCTATGGAGAAACCAAGCCATGGCGCTCTTGACGCGGTGTTGCTGTTACCTAATGTCTATTTCTGTTGTTAGCACTGAAGAGTAGCAGAAACACATAACAGCTGGCTGATAAGGTGGTAGTAATACAGTATACGCATCCGCCAGATACAGTAACTGTTTTTGTATCTGTTTCTGATTTTGCATTGACTTAGGAAAAGAAAGTGATTTCTTAAGGAATTATAGGGATGAAATATCTTGGCCTGGATCCGTTTTGATTGTGCCAGACAGGTTTGCTTTGATCTCCTGTATGTTATTTACAAACAAAACAGCTACCCATCCAACCTGTTCCTCCCATTCATTGTTAAAAACAGGTCAAGAAAGTTACCACCGGAAACTGGTGGCCCCATACCTTTGGAATAAATTATCAGTAGAGCTTCTTCAGGAAACCCTCTCGGTTTTTATGCAGTTACTTAAAACAGAATTATTTAAAGGTGCTCATTATTAATATGTGTTATTTCATATCCCAACTGCAGTTAAATGTGTTTACTTTTGATCAGATTTGGCAAGTCGTTGCTTTATTTTGCCATGTATTTTTTTTAATAATTGTTCTTGTACTACTGTATTTGAAATTTATGTGTTAGCTGGTATCCACCCAGAGAGTGTGTATTGCACTATTGGGCATTATATATGTTAAATAAATAAATAAACAAATACATTTAGAGGAACAACCACACTGCACCTCAGTTAACCCACTTTAGGTCCATCAAGACTGAGCTGTTCTGCAGCTGTTGTCACCCCTTGATGCAGCCTTTTACTGATCTTGAGAAGTTTTTTCCTGCTTGCCTTTGGAGGGGAAGGGAAACTAAGCTTTCCAATTCTTTTTAATGGTTGCTAACTGACACAGTACATCAGCAATGTTTTTACAAGGCTTTAAAAACCTTTTCAAAGCATTGCTGATACATGAGAAACAATTAAAAGGAAATACAAAACTTGCTTTCCCTTTTTCTTCAAAGGTGGTGAGTGGAAAGGAAGCATTGCATTTCTCAAGACTGTTAAGGGATTTCACCAGAGGGCCAGCCAGCCAGCTGCTTTGGTTCTACCCCAGTGATCACACAAAAGAACCAAAGCAAAACACTCCCCCCCCCAAAAAAAGAACCCCCAAACAAAACAGTAGCCCCTGCCTGGGACCCAAAAAAGCATGGATAAGCATTGATTGGCGTGGCTTGGTTTTCAGTGTCACATACATCATGTGGTTGCTGGGAAATGCAATAACCCAACCTGCCCCCAGGCCAAACCAAACTGGAAAAAAAGTCAGTCTGATCACACCCTTTGTGGGTTGTAGCAGAAATAATGGTGAATTGTATGGCATTTTAAAGACAAATTATTTCAAATGGCATAAGCTTTTGTGGACTGTGGCCCACTTCATCAGCTGCATCTGAAGCATTAGATAACAGTTGAAAAAAGTTTATGCTGCTAACATGTCAGGTTTAAGGTACATAAAAGTATTTAATGAAAATGAAAACTTTTAAGATTCATTCTTTCCTGTAGGAAAACCTTGCTATTATTTGTTTACTTGCAACAATTCATCACTTTCATGTACCTAACGTTTTCATATCAAGACTGAAGCCTACATTGGAACAAGTTCAGTTTTTATCAGGGAGGTTGCATGCCTTTACTGTATTATGTTACCAGTGTTGTGGTTGTGTCAGTGCAGCAGTGGTCTTATGTATAAGAAGCTGCCTGGGAGAGATGGAGGGTTTTTCTACTTTGGTGGCTAAATTCTAGATTTGTTTTTCTGTTGAACTGGTGTTTTTATTGTTGTTTTCTAGGTGTTAGGTGAAGTCTGTCATCCTCGCTGGGCTTAACTGACTTACGTTCTTCTTGCTGATTTAAAAACTGAAGTTACCTTTCTACTGTACTTTTTTGCTGTCTTTTCTTTTGTAGTTGATGGTCTGATTTGACAATCTGTTTAATGCAAACTGTCTTGAGATGTTGGAAACAGGGAATATAAATTTACAAAAATAATATCACAGGACAGACTGATGTAAATAAACTTTTAGTATACACTTGTATCTTTATGAATTACGTGCATACAGATAGGTACAGTACAGCTATAGAAGACTGGTCACTGAAAAGTTCATTTCTGGATGACTCCCAGAAGTGCTTCCCACAAATGTTGGCCCTCATAACTCAAACCATACGTTACTGGCATTTCAAAAGACTGATCCATTTCAATTAACAGGCCCAGTGTGCCTGCTGATGGCTGTGCAATCCAGACAAACTCTTTTGTTGGATACAAGGATTATCATTTGAGACCTATTGGCTTGCTGAATAAACCTTGGTTGCAAGTAAGAAGTTCAGTTACATATACGGCTTTAGGTAGGATTATTGTTCAATGGTAGCAACGTATGGGGACCAGATGTATCATGTTTACACAAATCTCTCTCTGGTTTCTGTTGACTTGTTCCTAAGCATATGATTCTAGTTATGCAGCAAAATCTTACGGAATAAAGTTCCATCTGATTCACATGAACTTAACGATCTCGTAAATCAACAGAGGAACCATCTCACCAAAGGAAATTCTCTTTCAATTAGAGATGGGCATGATCCGCAGTTTGGTGCTTCATTGTGGTTTGGCGAATTGGGCCCACAGGTGTTGCATGGGTGCCTTGGATCCCCTGCCCCGCCTCCTCCCATAGGCCCTCACTGAATGCTTGCGGGAGGGGGATCTGGAGCGTCCAAGCAACACCTGTAGGTCTGATATGCTGAACCAAGCTGAAGTGTGGATTGTGCCAATTTCTAGTTTAAATTGTGGGGCTTGTTCAGTCAGTGTAGTAAAGCACTATGCTTGTGTGGGTACTTGGCAAAGTAAGTACTTTGCTGGTAGGTAGGTTTTGTAAAATAAACTCTCCTCGAACACTATATTTCAAATGAATCATTTTTTCCCTAACAGCCTTCTTCATTGTCCAGCTTTCACACCCGGACATAGCATTTGGGGATACAGTAAAGTGGATGATCTTGGCCTTGGTCTCCAGTGACACATCTTTACATTTATTGCTCCCTTTCTGAATTTGAGCTTTTTTCTGATTTCTTGTCTGTAGTCTCCATTTGGATTGATGATTGAACCAAGGTATTCAACATTTGTAACAATATCAGTTTCTTCATTGTCAACATTAATGTTGAGCAGTTCTGTAGTCTTTAATTTTCTATTCTTTATGTTTGGCTGCAGTCCCATTTGGCGTTTCTTTCACTTTCATCAGTAGTTGTTTCAAGTCATTGCTGCTTTCTGCCAGTAAGAGAGTGTCATTTGCATATGATAAATTACTGGTGTTTTGTCCACAAATTTTCACTCCTTCTTCAACTGAATCTTGTCCTGCTTTCTGTGTGATATATATTTTGCATATACAGTAGTTTGAACAGTCAGGGAAATAAAATGCACTCTTGTCTGTGATGCCTTTGCATATAGGATACCGTTTCTGTCTTCATATTTTGTCCCCAAAGTAGCTTCTTGTCCACAATATAGGTTAGGTGTCAGGACAATCAAATACAGTACTAACACATCCATTTTTTAAAAGAAAAACTGGTAGCTTGTCATGGTCCACACAAACAAAGGCTTTGCTGTAGTCCATAAAGCATGGACTGATCTTCTGGAATTCTTTGGTATGCTCCAGTAACTCACAAATATTTACAATATGATTTCAAAAAATTCTTTCTTTTTGGATTCCAGCTTGATCATCAGGCATTTCTCACTCCATATAAGGTATAAGCTTTTGTTGCAACACCTTGAGCACCACTTTGCTTGCATGGGAATTTAGAGCAATGGCCCTATAGCTACTGCATTTCTTGGCATCTCCTTTCGTGTAAGTTGGACATTTGCAGTTCATGGATCATTGTTTTGTTTTCCATATTTGTTGGCATATTCCTATTAGGATTTATACAGTTTGTGGGCCTGTCCAGATGTCTATATAGATCAATATTTGGATTGCTATTGGTATGGTTTGGTTCAAACCAAATTGTGTTGTCCTCACATGATTCTAAGTAGATTGATCCATCCTGCCTCTTTAAGAACTGTCCCATTCCTTTCTGGTACAAGGATAGGGTCTTTGGGTTTTTTGGCATGATTCAATGTACTTCCAATTATCTCATTATGTAGCCTGTATAGATGGCTAATTCTCACTCAAATGGAGCTGTGTGTGGTGTTACTTACAAGGCCCTAAACGGTTTAGGACCTCAATATTTGGCGGAGCGCCTGCTTCCACCAAGGTCTACCTGGATCACCCGTGCAAGTCAGGAGGTGAGGCTGAGGAGCCTGATGCCAAGAGAAGCCTGGAAGGAGAAGACACTAAACCGGGCCTTCTCGGCGGTGGCTCCTCGCCTCTGGAATAACCTGCCTCCGGAGATTTGCGCGGCCCCTACACTGGGTATCTTAAAAACCCAATTAAAAACATGGTTGTACATCGAGGCCTTCCCTCCAGCCAATATCTAATTTTTCTCTCCATCTTTTCTCTATTTTATTTTTCGTTTATCTTATTGTAATTTTTATTGAATGAACACGTACATTCTTGTGTTTTATTGTTTTATTCTGACTTGGAAGCTGCCTAGATTGGTCTAGTAGTCCAGATAGGCAGGGTATAAATTAAATTAAATTAAATTAAATTAAATTAAATTAAACTAAACTAAACTAAACTAACTAACTAAACTAACTAACTAACTAAATAACTAAATAACTAAATAAATAAATAAATAAATAAATAAATAAATAATCTATCAATCAGAGGTGAGAACCCTGAGACATAATTCATAGGTTGTGGCTTTAAAAGGGAGAACAGAGAAG